TTAGGGTTTAGGGTCTTGGGGTCTTGGGCTAGGAAGAGGGAAGCCTTCCGCACCCAATCCTTCAAATCAAACTCCAATCCCGAAGCCCTTGTAAACCCTGTAAGCCCCTAGACCCCTAAACCCTATAAACCCTATAAGCCCTATAAAACCTAAGACCCCTAAACCCCTAAATCCCTAGACCCCTGAACTCCAATCCCACTCCCGGAACCTAAAAGCAGAGACTTAGGCATAGGGACCTTCAGCACTGAGGTCCCAATCCTACCTGCAGCCCGTAATGATATTATTTGTAGCAATGTAATATCCATAAAACCTGGACCTAAGACCTACAAGCTTCCATGCTGTAGCCCAGCCAGTCATCTAAATGTTCAAGACCTTGAGCTCGAAGCTTAAACCCAAACCTCCAAACACCTTCAACCTTACCCTGAAACCCTAAACTCTCCCAAGCTCGAGCCTAGAAGAAAGCTCCAGCCCTACCTCAGCAAAAAATAACACATCAAACTGAGATCGGAAAAGCTCGGCTAAGCCCCAAACCCTAAACCCTAAACCCCCTAGCGGAAAGGAAAAGAGGTGATACAGACTCTTACCTTTGGTTAGTAGGGAATGGAGGAATGGGAACTATTATAAGTACCGTTACTACCATTCTTCCATTCCCTACTAACCAAAGGTAGGACAAAAACAGGCCTAAAGCCCGGACCAGAGGCCGTCCCAGCCTGGAGTGGGCACGCGACTGGCAGGAGACTCGCAGTACCTGGGCCGGACATGTGAGGCTTTGGGCTTATAGGGTTTAGGGCTTTAGGGTTTTAGGGTTTAGGGTTTGGGGGGCTTAGGGTTTAGGGTTTATAGGGTTTAGGGTTTAGGGTTTGGGGGGCTTAGGGTTTAGGGTTTATAGGGTATCACAAATGGATTCTGGGAGTGTCTTGTTGAGAGTGGTATAGAGAGTATGGAGTTCTTACGTTCTCTGAAGCCTAGGAGGCGAGCGGGGAATGCTGTGGCATGGTTTGTGCACCTTGAACGCTTAACCCAAAACCCTAAGCCCTCCTGACTCATGTCCAAGTTTGCTGGAACCGCACGAAGCTGCCCCGAATTGGAGGATGCATGAAGTTGCAAGATCGTGCCCGAACGGAGGTCACATAGTAGGGGTTTCCATGATCTAAAAATGCCTGCGACAGATATCGCTAGTTCAGGCTGCGGGGCGACACACGCAGTCACCCACACATTTTCCGAAGTTTTGGGGCGTTGAATACTGATGTGTCGAAGTCGCTTAGCTCCATCGGGTTGATCGCCGCCACAGGTTTGAGCCGGTGGGTGTCGGGCAGGCAGCTTAATAATACTAATATATAATAACAATAAGAATAATAATAATCATGGAATGGCAGTTGCAGGTGATGCGCAGCTTCTCTGGGCTCACCCCAAGTCGCACGCCACAGGAGACCGGATGACAGGTTAGTTTGGGGCTTAGGGTTTACGGTTTAGGGTTTACGGTTTAGGGTTTACGGTTTTTGTTCAGGGTTTACGGTTTGGCGTTCAGGCTTGTGGGGAATGTAAGACAAAGGGCATGTTAGTGCCTGCATCTGTACTTTTGCAATCCCAAAGGTGCATATTCTGGGATGCTTGCTCTATCCTTTGAGGGGCAGTGGCGCTCGCCCAAGCCTTTGCTTGGAGGATATGTTGCTTCATAGTCACGTGTTACCTACCGTACCCTTGAGCTGTTTGCTGAGTTCAGGTAGACCGTCCACAGCCAGATCGCCAAGGCTTAGAGCATTGATCCCTGAACCCAAGACTATTGTACGGAAGAAGCAGTTAGTCAGCGCGGACTCGCTCTCCAATTCCATCCCAACTCGAAGTACCCAAGCCTAAACCGTAAACCCTACATCCTAAAGAGGCAACCAGCACTTCGGCCCTAAAGGCTTAGACGCTACTGAAACAACGAAATGCCACTTACTTCCACGGCTGCCACCATTACTTCTGCTCCAGACCTGTCTTCCTGTACTGATACTTAGACCAAGTAGCTCTTCTCCTACTCATGATGTGCTGTTGCCAGGTCTTCTCATCATGACACTTCGATGTCACTTCTGACCAGACCAGCACTATCCCGCTGATGTTCAGCCCTGATCCCACCAAAATTGCCGAAAGGCTTGGTAAGCTATACCGTGACGGCCCAGGGTTTTGGTTGATATGGGTTCGGAGTTTTCGGGTCAGCGCTTCCTAAACGCTAAGCCTTACATCCGCAACACCCCAAAACCCCAAACTCTACACCCTAAACTCTCAGCCTCAATCCGCAATTACATCTGTCGGCACATGAAGCCCGCAAGGCTGGATCGCGGTTGAGGAACTGAAAAGTAAGCTACTATAGTAGGAAATCCCTGCTATTTACTACATGTGTCGTTGTGGTAACTTAGATTATTCCGTATTTACATAATTATATCGCTATCTCTATATATATATACACATACACACATGTGTGTACATATACATATATACCACAAGAGGCCCCAAGTCCCACAAGGCGCCCCGGACCAGCAGACGCCGCTTTCATCCGTCCTCTCTGCCTCCCCGCGGCACCGCCTAGCTGCGATGCTGCAGAAGCGCCGCGGTGGGCGTTTCATGGGCGGTACGAAATTTATGGGATGTAATATGGGGTGTAAGTCGTGCTTAGGCTTTAGGTTTGGGTTGTGGGTTTCGGGAGCTTCACCGGGTCGAGGTTTTTGGGCTTACGCAGGACTAAGGGAGTGAAGGCGGAGTCATGAAAGCGTAGAGTCTGCACCAACAGCAAGCATGGATACAGATAGGGTTAATAGCCAGGTAAAAGCAAACCAGCAGGGTAAACCAAACAACCGAGAAAGAGCGGTATGTGTATGTATGTATGTATGCATGCATGTATGTATGTATGCATGTATGCATGTATGCATGCATGCATGTCTGCATGTATGAATGTATGCAGAGAGGTAGGTAGGTAGGCAGGCAGGCAGGCAGGCAGGCAGGCAGGCAGGCAGGCAGGCAGGCAGGTAGGTAGGTAGGTAGGTAGGTAGGCAAGTAGGGATATACGTATATGTAGATGTGCATATATGTATAATATATGTATATATGTACACATACATACATATATATATATATACATACAGAAGGGACTGTCCTGGGGCTTGCGTTTTTGCAGTCCAGCTATTTTACATAGAGTATGGTAATCTTTGTGGGACGAGCAGGCTCCAGGGCAGTATCGGCCCCATCACTACGAACGACACGGCCCCCGCCAACACGGACGCACACGACCTCAAAGAGCCGCCGGGTGATGCATCCAATACGAACGACACGACCCCCGCCAACAAGGACGCAGACGACCTCAACGAGCCGCCGGGTGATGAGTCCGATTCAAGCTCGGATTTGCCGTCCTCAAGCAGTCCTTCGCCTTTGGCAATTCCGGACATTTCACTATGGTGAGGTACGAGAGTATCGACCTTCTCGAGGCGGCTGATACGGATGGCAAGAAGGCAATTGCTACTCGCTTTCTTAAGAATATCATTGCGGCCCAAGCCCGGTGGGATCGTGTGTGACTTTCTTGAGCTTCCTCAAAGGAAGGACGCCGGACGTTGGGACTTTGCACAAATTGAGTATAAAAAGCTGAGTGATGATGCGCTTTGCTTCGCAGACTGCTGTTGTGGGTGATTGTTGCACCGGAGGCCTGCTTCAGTACTGCAAACATGTTGTAAGCATTGCCTCAGAGCACCAGTCTGAGGTCATCCATCGTTTCGAGGGAAACGGACTTAAGGAGGATTGGCTATCCAGCAAGCACAAGGACTTCCTCGACAAGTACAAGGGCGGTCAGTTTGTCAAGTGCCCAGGGTATGAGGAAGCCCTGGAGTCGGAAGCGGCTCTCATTGGCAACTTGTTAGCCTCACCAGAAGAGAAGGAGTACATGCGTAGAGCGGCGACCTATGATTCTTGGGCTACTCTGATTCGGATGTCGCAACCGCAGCGCCGGCTACACCGCGCTCCCGCTCCACGGCGTCTGCAGCAAGTCCAATCATCTCGTCCCCTCCGGCAAAGATCCACAAGAAGGAGACGAGTGAAAGTCAGGAGATGACAGTGTCACAGGAACTTGAGCTCCATCTTGCGGATTCGCAAGAAGCTGACACCCTCTCCAACAACTGCGTGAACAACAGTGACTTGGATGCTGATGAGGATGCTGCCCGCGACCTGCACCACTGAGGCGTGCCGCAAAGTAGCAGGATAGACTCTCAGACTGTGACTATGAACCCGCAACAGTTCGTTGGTACGCTATGAGCGTTTTCAGAGACAAATCCTGCGGCTTTTGTGCATGCCCGATGTGACTTCATTGTCATCTACCGTGTACATGGCCAGGCTCTTTCGCCGCACAGCAGTGCATGCTCCCGCCCGGTGTCAACTCAAGGACAGACCTTGGTGCGATGCCTTTCAAACGCCCAGCGGCATCGAGGACTTCGTCCAGCGGTGATGCTCAGGTCTTCCACTCTCATCTACGTCGATGCCTGTGTGGAGGGAAGCTTTCAGATGGACATGTGATTGACGCCATTGTGTCATGGGCGGCCCTCGGGAAGTTCAGGTACAAAGCGTGCGATGTACTTCATTTACCTGCAGAAGGACTTTTGGTCCAAACTTCGTTACAGAAGGTGAGGGCAAATTGAACACTCTCCAGTCCATCGCAGACGCTCCTGAAGCCATCTTCGTGAATGTGAAGCTCGGCTTCACCCTCAAATACCTGACTTTCATTCCCTGCTGGAGTTCCGTGCGTTCACTTCTGCAAAGGCCTGTCTCGATGTATGCTCTCAAGTATACTCCAGCCACAGTGGGGATGGCGGCCATTTCCGCGCCATGCATGCTGCAGCAGTTATGTACTACTTGGCCTTGAATGAGTTCCCGGCTGCAGATATCCCAATGAACTTCCTCATCGGTCAGGAGCTTTCTCCTTCGTCCTTGCAAACATATGATGAGTTCATTCACGAGAAGATCTTCCCTCCCATGCAGAAGAACAACATATACGAGGTCGTCATGGACGGCAATGCCAAGGTCCACGTCAAGTGTCCCGGCGACGAGCAACATGCAGGCAAGCCCCGTGCAAATGGAAAGAAGAAGCCTTATGGGTACGGATGGTTCATGGCTGTTCATCCGGGCACGCAGCGGATCTTAGCTGTGTCCTGCCTCAAGAAACCTGAGGGAAATGATGTTGTGGACGACGTCCTCACCCGCATCCTTCCGAAGTACAAGAACATGAACGGAGTGATCATTGATCGGGTATGCTCGTTCCTGCCTCGTGCCAAGTCACAGGCAAAGTTCAGGCAGATCAAACATTGGTCGGTTGATTTCTTTCACGCCCACGGGCATAATGCTTCCTGTCCATGCAATCCACACCACATCCCTCGTCTCGCCAGACACTTTAAAGGGATCAACACCTCTGCTGCAGAGCAGGTGTTTGCGTGGTTTAGAAACTATGCCAGGGTGTTGAATGAGGCAACTGCCATGCGGCACTCGTTCAAAGTTCTCTACTTCTGCAAGCTGCACAACACAGCCATGCAGAAGGATGGATCTTCTTATTTGTCCCAGTATCCCCACAAGGGCAAGAGGCGCTCTGTCTCCTATTCCTGCACCCCCCGGAGAAGCCATCCGGAAAGTAGACACGGGTGCACAGTGCATTACAAGTTGCCATCGGCGTGGGGCGCACGATGCAAACAAACCTGTCTTCAGGCTTCCTTGCAATCTCTTAGAAACAACTTCGTCATCCATATACATCTGTATCTGCATCTTCCAAATCATGTATCACCCACCGTATTATCAACTTATGTCAATATGGTCGCCGATCTGCTACACTGTTTAGACCTGTACAATAAAACACAATGCATTACAAGACTCAGGCCCTACTGTTCTTCTACGGTGTTTATGTGTAAAACAACACAAAAAACAACGTAAAAACCACTGTAAAACACAGGCCCCAGGGCAGTCGGCTCTCTCTCTTTCTCTCTCTCTCTCTCTATCTATCTATCTATCTATCTATCTATCTCTATATATATATACATACATATACACATGCACATATATACGTATATAGAAATGTATATGTTCATGTGATTGTATATGTATATGTATATGTTTATATGTGTATTTATGTATGTATGTATGTATGTACGTATGTACGTATGTACGTATGTACGTATGTACGTATGTATGTATGTATGTATGTATGTATGTATGTACTTTGGGTTTCTCAGTAAAGTGTGCCGCGGCAGCGTGTGCCGACCTGTCATTAATCTGCACGTTAAAGCATCATCCATCCAACTACGCAAACTCTAAGACCCCAAAACCCTAAACCCGTAAGGTCCAAAATGAATCCAACAATATGAGAAGCCCAATACCGGATAGGAAGCCGAACCTTGAATCCTTGAGCCCTGAGTCAAGGTGGGGCCTCACCGATCAGGAGTCTAAGAGCGGCGCGGAGGCTTCCCTCCAGAAGGCCAGAAATCCACCAGGAACCCTCCCCCGAGTCCTTAAAGGTGTTGGTACGTTGTTGGAGTCGGGGTTCAGGATTTGTAGGGGCTTCCAAAAGGTGCTCAGGGACCCAGTCGATGCATGAGCTGTTGAAGCTGTAAACTTGGTGGATTGTTGCGCCTTGAGCGATTTTCAATGTCTAGCTTTTGTCGCATTTCCTTTGGTCGGATTGGCTGCTGCTTCTACGAGCTTGACCTGGGCGATGTTTCAGAGATGAGGGCTTCGGGCTGGGGATGCCACTCGCCAGCGCGAGCCTGATGCTAGGGTTTCGATCATTTGTGTTTTGTTTGTTGTAGGCCTCGTATATAGGTTGAACAGTTGGCATCTGATTGTGCTGGAGTCCCATCCGCATCGCGAGCGGCCGAGTAGTCAAAGCAGTACACCGCCAATTTGTCCCCTGTTCTCCTGCCAGAAACCTGGCTCTTTTGCAAGAACCTCGCTGTGCATGTGTCCTCGTTTTTGTTCATGCAACCACGGTGTCTCATCCCTTTCGTGCGTCTGTGTCCGTGTGTTCCCTTTCTGTTCGCAGTACAATGCCCTGCCCTGCTGGTTGCAACTCTTCTTTTGCAATCTCTCTGTTTCAGACGCTCTACGCAAGTACAAGCTACAAGCATTCTTAGCCTAATCATTTAGAGGCAGCAAACCAGCAATCAGTAGTGACGGTGATTGGACTAGCAGCGTTTTCCGTAAGAAATTCTGAGTCCACAGCTACTATCATTGAATTCTTACCAGGACAACCTGCCCAAGCCCTAACTTAAAACACACCACGCCCTGCAGCCTAGACCGCAAAACTCTAAAACACCTATAAGGTTTATACCTGAAGCTACATTCCACACCCTGGACCTCCACATCCGCGACGCCTTTAAAGGGGACCCTATTATAGAATGCTATGGTACCCTTAAAGGGGACGCACCCCCCAGTCTGGTACCCTATACTACCCTTAAGAGGCTGCGCTGAAGTTCCTGGCCTTGCCCCGGTCCTCCCTTGGTGGGCTGACTGCTCGGAAGGTCAAGGAGGTCCGATTTGGGAGTCTGGAAGGGTTTAGGGTTTAGGGAAGGGTTATGAAGGGCTACTATCATTGAATCAGGGCTCTACATCACAAAACAGCGCTGCTTCAAGGTGACCTATAAGTTCCCTTCACTAAACCCTAAAACTGAGCCTTTAAACCTATAAGGATTATGTACGACAGCATGATTAAGCCCTAAACATAAACCATTACTGCAAGGGTTGCTATCAGAGTTGAGGAGCGTCCTGGTTCGCTCGGGCTTTTGTGCGGAGGTTTTTGTGTTTCGGGTTTAAGGTTATTGGTTTTAGGGTTTCGGGGCTTTTAGGGTTTTTGGGTTTTTGGGTTTTTTAGTTTTTTTGGCTTTTGGGTTTGGTATTTAATTACCTCTTCATGAGGACTCTGAGACGCCCTTTACAGGATACTGGGGTGGGCGGTGTCCTAGAAAAGTTTGTCGCAGGCTGGGCCAGAAGGCAACCCGGGAGAGTCTGCTCGAGCTGCCACAGCCGAGTGGAGGCGTGCAGCCGCAGACGCTCAGTTGCTTCGGGTTCAAGGGTTTTTTGGGACTCTTAGCGTTTTAGAGGTTTTTGAGGGGTTTTAGGGGTCTAAGCTTCAGAGGTGTGGGTTCAAGGGTTTGGAGTTAGGGCGGTGATATGCGGTTAGGGTGTTCGGGCTTTGAGGGTTCTAGCGGCTACTAGCGGCTTTGGGGTTTTGGGATGTAGAGTGTAGGAGTTTGAGGGGTTTGGGTTAAGTGGTTTTGGCTTCTGGGGTCAGGATTTAGCGATTAGGATCGTCCATACTTGTGCCTTCGATGCTGGGACATGTGCAGACAATCCTGATCCTCAACCCCCCACCCCCTTTCCCCCCCCCTTCCCCCAGCCGTCCCAAAGTGAGCTGCTGACTTCGCGAAGAAGAGTCTAGAGAGCCCAAGCATCGTCTCTGAAGGGCACTTCGTACTTGCTGATGCGAGATTCAGCCCAGGATTTACTCCTGTCCTCTCCGGCTGCAGAGGGCCTGGATCCTCGCCTGAAAGCTTGGGGATTTCTGGTTAGGAGCCTTGCGTGTAGGGTCGACATCGTTCGGAGAGGTGTTTATACATGCAGGTGTCGGAGTAGCCGGCGGGTTTTCGGGTATTGTATGCCAGAGATGCAGATTCACTTGTTTTGCTAGGAAGCGTTGTCAACACGGCAGAGGAATCGCGTTCTAACTTTGCACAGCACAGGAGCTTAAGAGAACAACGCCGACAACCCGTTTGTGATACAAGCACTTCACTAGCCCACAACCTGAACTCTTACCAGCCTACGACACCCACTCCCCCACCCGAACCATCCCCCGTCAAGCAGTGTCCCCTCACCACAACAGCAACAACAACAACACCAGCAGCCTCAGCAACAACAACAACAACAGCAGCAGCAGCAGCAGCAACAGCAACAGCAACAGCAACAGCAACAGGAACAACAGCCACCGCAACACCAGCAACCCTAGCCACTGTGCCTATACCCACCTACACCTCTACCATCCTTCACCCCTATCCCCTACTATATAGGCCCCCCCCCCCCCCCCCCCC